AAATCACAATAGGATGCATACAAATGATACAACTGATCACTCGATTGGATGATCTGTTCTATTTCTGGATCTGTGAAACCACGCGAATGTGATGAAGATAGCGTGTTTGTGTTAGAATTAGCAGCATTATTTGATGCGGTCAATCAGCGCAAGTGGGTGTGGATTCAGCACGGGTATTCGTCCTTCAATACAGCACTTATCGATGCTAATCAATACACAACCATAATAAAAGCAATACAATAATGAAAACAGAAATAAACCTTGTTGAATGATGCTAACAACTGAATCAGCAAGAGTACCATATAAATTATCTCTGTATTCACCGAATTCCAAGAACCTGCCCAGTCTTATCCAATGTTCCATTTCATCTTTCTTCACAAAATAATAATCCACTCCTTGCATTTCATGCGCTCTAAAAATCAATTTCTATGCGGCATACCATCTTTCGAGGCATGAAAAACATTCGGATGAACTATTTAGTAACGAAACCTCGGTGCCCTCGAGGTGTGCGGCACTGTAGTTGAAAATCGTTCAGGATTACTCATTATTAATCGACGTTTCAATTCATTCCGACCAACACCTGATGCACCGATCAGCACTACCGATCGAATCATCTTTTTATTTGGTGATACCAGAGAAACACTCTCGTATAATGCGCCTTCATATACCTCAATTATTCATTATTAATGAGTTTGACGAGTCAATTATATGAGATACCTCATTTAGTGTTCTTGATGCAGCAGTGTTCTTTTTAATTCCTTTCCTCACACTATTACTATCCGACTCGCGTTGTTTTCGTCGTTTTTGATGGAGTAATTCAGACGGAATTATTCCGATTCGTCTTCTTTTCACTTCAATCAGTTATCATTTATATCATCACAAATACTCGAATACGAAAAGTAAATTCGTACTAAACTGATTATAATATAAATAAATAGACAACAAACCATCAGAGGACTGATCAACGGAATGATACTCATCAAAAGGAGCGAAACCAATGGACCTGGCTTGCCACCAGTGTTCATCACCATTCACCACAACTAGTTCGAGTATTTCGTTTCGTTTGAACGACAACGCTGCTTCAGGGCACGGATGTAATGCATCACTTGAGCCGTCATAGTCTGTCTGCAACAATCTCTATACTTCTCACATTCACAATAAAACCATCAACCAACCAATGCTCTGACGTAACGCGGTTCATCGTACTCAACAATCGTCGGCATTTCAGCAGGAATCAATTTGAACTGAACTGTTCCATCATC